TTACAGTCTGATATTCCCTTCCACAGGCTCTAGACTCAGACTACTGGGCCGGTACCTCTCCCTCTAAGCCTACCGAACTCCTAGATTCTACCTCGGCCTCTAAAGTTAATACTAAGTTTCGCGTTTTCTATCTACCTAGCGCCACTTGAGTGTGTCCAGCCTCCACGGCCCTACCCCTCACTAATACTCCGCTGCAACCCGCACACGACGAAGCCACAGGTAAGTTAAGGCTCGCAGGCCTTTCCTGCACGCAGGTTCCCCCCCCCCCCCCCCCACACACACACACACTCATGCCATCATACACGCGGGCAAGCACCCGGAAACTTAGCATCACACACACATATGTACTTGGTAGAATATGGAAATCTCAGCATACTTCTTAAGTCGTTCTACAAGCTCCTTGATAGGGGCTTGGCGGGGAATGAGTCTCGGGTTTATCCTTCTTCGGTATAGTTTTCCGTGTGCTTCGCGCCTAACCCAAGAGACTTGATTTTGTGCCTTCCATTTCACGGCATGAATTTGGGTACTTAGGAGAGATATCCCATTATGAATGAGCAGTTCATATGGTGACTCAAACGGTCGCCCCAAAAATAAGAAATAAAATAGACACAAGGTTAAATCGTATATCGAAACGACTGCTGGCATCATCAAAAGGGATAGGGGTCAAAACTTCAATCTGATTTGCACAGACTTACTGACAGTTACTTTTTTATTTCCTTGGGCAGTTTCTTTCAATAAAATAGGATTGTTAAACATTGTTTGGATTTTGATCTATGATGGTTTTTTTATTGATTTTAACTATGGTTTTGTTTATGAATGGAAGAAGGGCGCTTTAGATTGGGAATAACACATTTGGGTAATTAGCTCAGTTGTAACCCCAAAGACTTGCCTAGAAGAATTCAAAGCACTTACTCGAGGAATTGGTCCCTGGGTCATGAAATCAAACTTGCTAGAATATAGGCTCCCATGTCCCAAGACGAAAAACAGAGACTCTTTTTTCTAGTACATAATTACTCGAGTACGAGATCCAATGTCTCTTCTTGCGTGAACTCACTAAACTCAGGCCTTCGGCTTCTCCCACTTCGTGTCCTGAGGTTGCGGACTTGACTTGCGTAACGTATCAAAGTCATTGGTTTATCATAGAGACGATTTCGGGCAAAAGAAATTCTCATGGTGTGACGGGCGGTGTGTACAAGGCCTGAGTACATATTCACCGCGGCATCCGCGATTACTAGCGATTCCAAGTCAGTCAAACAAGTGGCAAAACTCAGAAAACAGCAAGTTTCTTAGTCTGTGATGTTGCAGGTCCATACCATCAACAGTTCTGCACCATTCAGCCATCATGGGGCCAGGTACACGATAGCTTGCATCTTGAAGGTTGGCAGTATGTAGTTCTTTGTCTGCTGTAAAGTTACACTGCTAAATTCTCGATGCCAAATGGAATTTCCATTTCTGAACCGCCATTGAATCCAAGTGCACTGCCATTGCTATCACCCTTGCCGTCGCCATTCCATTCACAATCGTCTTTTCAACTGACGTCACCGTCGTCCTCCACATCACCACCACGCTGCTTCCGGCACAGTGAGAAAATGTTGTTTCTCAATAACGCATTTTACACAGGTCATCAGCTGTCCTGACCTGTGTATGTGAATATGTGTTATTGAGAAACAACATTTTACATGTCAAGAGAGCGCAAGTGTTTGTCTTCGGTGCATGTATATTTAAACTGATGAAAGGGGAAGATGGTTGGGCCATCAGGAAGGAGAGGAGGAGAGAATCAAACATTCATTTTGTCTGAAGTAGACGACTCCCAAATCATGTGCTGTGAATCTTGAGGGGTCTTGTCAAGTGTAATGCTGACAAAAAGAGGAAGAGGAGGAAGAGTAGGAAAAGAGGAGGAAGAGGACAAGGAGGACAAGGAGGAGGGAACAAAATGAAGAGGAAGGAGGCGGTCAAGTCAGTGTCGAGTGTAATGCTGACAAGAAGAGGAAGAGGAGGAAGAGTAGGAAAAGAGGAGGAAGAGGACAAGGAGGAGGGAGCAAAATGAAGAGGAAGGAGGCGGTCAAGTCAGAGGAAGAGGAGGAGGAGGAGGACGAGAGATGAGAGGAGGATGTGTCAATGCCAATCCAAAGGATTGCAGTTGCATCCAATTGGGCACACGCTCTACAGCAAGGAGGAAGAGGAAGAAGGCGACTGGAAAGAGGACACTGTGGATGACGATTGGGACCAGGACCACAATGGATCAATCTTTCTCCAATTTCAGTGGGTCTATGGTATGTCGAGTATTCTTGCCGGTGCCGTTTGCAATGACCAAGAAGGTGATGAAGAGGAGGAGAAGTGGATGCGGAGGAGTCTGATGTGTCAATTTGTTTGTGACAAATTGGCTGGAATCCTGTCTGACAATGAGACAACGAGGAAGACGACAAATGAGGAAGTGGAGGAAGAGGAGGAAGAGGAGGAAGAAAATCAGTAATGGAATATATTGTTGATGAAGATTCAAAGAATCACTTTGTGCCAAATTCAATGCGTTTTTGGTTTGCTCAGATGTGGAGTAGAATGAAATGTGGTCAAGTCCATCATTGACAGCAAAAAAAACTTGGACAAAGAGGATGAAGCGGAACAAGAGGACGAGGAAGAAGAAGATACGAGCGCATGACAATTAGGAAGAGGAAGAGAGGGAATGGAACGAACAGGGTTATGGTGAAGAGGAGGAAGATGGGGGATGATCAACCAAAGGACCATGATTGAGGGGGATCTTGACAGAGGCAAGGCAGAGAAGGGCAAGGGGGAAGAGGAAGAGGATGAGGGCGGAAGGAAGAAGATGCATATCTCTTTTTAGTGGTAGGGGGGTCTTGGATGGAATTGTATGTGATTGCGTTTGATGCTGACAAGGGCGGAAGCCAGACAAGGAGGAAAATGGACAGAGGATAATAAGGGTGTGGAGGAGGGAGAAGAGGGTGACCTGGGGGATGGGGATGAGAAGGCGCCCGATCTAAGACCGAAGAGGAGGAAGAGAAACGAGTCCGGTCAGTTCTGGTGATAAAGAAGAGGGAGAGGAGCATGATAGATGCTGTACATCTTAAACAATAAATAAGGAATTGGAGGTGATGAAGAAAGAAGAGGATGAGTGTGAGACAAGAAGAAGAAAGAAGAGAAACAGGAGGTAGTGGAGGAAGAAGAGGATGAGTTTGAGGCATGAAAAGGAAGAGGTGAAACAGGAAGGGAAGAGGGGAAAGAAGAACAGCATGCCCCAAGAAGAATGTTAGTTTTAGCAGGTGCAACTGTGCTCCGACGTATGCTTTCATGTTGCCCATCCACTTTGGTAGTTCTGATGATCGTATCCTTTTGGCTTTTGGCCTATCTCTCCGCATTTCTGCTTTGCATGTAAGGGGTATTTTTCTCCTTGCTCCCTCTCATGTACCGTCGCGTCAATGCTTTTGTCTCGTTTGGTGTGTTGTTCGGGGATTGACTGGTTTTCCTTATATACTGGCGTTGGATTGACGGCTACTCCTCGACCTGACGGACCTTTGGTGGACCTACACTGCACCCTACAATACTACGGCTGGCCTGCAACAGCTAGAGTATCATCATCATCATCATCATTGTTGTCATTATGGTCAATTTTGAGGAAGGGTGCAGGAACTGTATTTCTTTCCCAACTGTTGGCTTTTGCTTTTTCCCTGTTGGATTCTTAACTGCTCACTGATGTTGCACACATCTCACACTTTAGCAGACTGCCTGCATTTGTTTTTCTCCCTCCTCCTTTCTCTCCCGTCCTGTTTGCTACCACTCCTCTTCCTCTTCTCCTTTTTCTCCTCCTCCTCCTCTCCCTCTCTTCTTCTCATTCTTATCCGTCTTCTTCTTTCTTCCATTCAGAGCCCCAGCCTTTTGTGGGACACCTTGTGGGACACCTTCCTGCATGCCCTATTGTCGCAATGGTACACTGTGCCTAACCAGTTGCCCACTTTGCCTTTTTGTGCCCTGTGCACTTGGAGTCAGCCGTCTGCCTGCGGCTGTTTATCAATTGAAGAAACAGCCGTGCAGCCTGCCGCCCATTGCTCGAGTGCCAGCAGGTGATACATTCACATGATGTACATGCCCACATACAGTTTGACACAACGGATGCCCATGTGAAACCTGCAGATACATACATCATTTGTGTATGATAAGCATGTACACAATAGGCATGTGCATGGACAGATAGATGCAAAGACACACAGGCAGGCCGATGTGACAAAGATCATGCATGTGTCCCTTCTATCTCATTGATTCTATACAGGCATGCGTCATGTGACCACACGTTCTCACGTGGATTGCACTTTCTTTACTTCACATGGGAAAGGGAATGGGGCTCTGCTCGGTGCTTTCTGCCAACACCCCACACATGCCTTGCACTTCTTTCAATGTCTTCACACTATGTTGAGAAGGGAAATGGGGGTTTGTTTGAAGCCAATGCACATTATGAGCACTTGCAGTCGACGTCAACACCTTGTGAGGGCTTTTGGGTTCGTGTGCTGCACACCGTGTAACGGAGTCCTCCAACTTGGCAGACTGCCAGCTACCAGAAAATCGCAGCCTCTCCAAAGGTGGGTAAGACTCTATTGCCATCTGGCTGCACAACCCCCTCTCTCACACATGTACAAAGTCCAGGGAAAAATTCCCTGACACAATTTTGCAATTCGCAACGCATTGCATTGTATCCAGTATTTACATCCATGCACACAATATTGAAAGGCAAAAGCAGACCCACGGGAAAAGTGGGAACGTGGGCATGCACGGCAGGGCCTATGTTAGAAAATCCAACCATTCACTGCCTCAAGAAAATTTGCAATTCTCAAAGCATGACATCATATCCAGTGCGTACTTGCCTACCTACCTACCCTCATTGACCCATGAACCCACCGACCCACGTATCAAATATATACCTTAATGAACTTTACCACTTTACCCACCACCAGCGCACCGACCCCCACCTACCCACCCACCCCCCCACCCACCTTACCCTATGCTCCCCTCCCTCCCCTCCCCTCCCCTGTGGGTAATCCGAGAGGCCCCTGCAGATAGGCCTGCTCGCCATGAAGCACGTGATTTTCTGAGCAGTAGCAGGCGAACTCACCATGTGATTTTCAGGGCTTCCCTCCACCACTCACCAAATGTGCAAAACTAGAATGAATCTTCTGCTAGAACATGGAACCATACGCCGCCAAGTGGTGACGAGTGGAGCCAGGCCCTTAGGGCCACTGCTCGTAGGAAAAGGAAAACAAAAGAAGAGAGAGCTATGGTAGTAAGTAGTTGTCACCCATAACTGCTGGAACACAGACCTGAGTTCGGATCCAGTAGATGTATTGCTGGCCTGCTCCTGACTCACCCGAAATTCGACGAAGGTCTCTGAGACGTTGGGACCCCCTGCCAAATCTCTGCTGGGGGTCCTAAGAAAAAAAGACTATATTCAATGAGGAATACTTGGCCCCATTTTTTTTTTCTGTGCCCTTCGAATTTTTAGAAGGGAGGGGCATGTTTGGCTATCTCAGCCAGCCGTTTCCGGTTTTTTTTTTCGACCCTATTTATTGGGGTGCGCCGCACCATGCGCACTATGCGCCGCACGTGCGGAACTCGCGTGCACGTGGTGCACCGCAGGTATGATAGAAACATATATCAATATACCAAACTAGCCGATTCTTGAAGGTTGATGCAAAGTGTAGCAGCAGTTCACAGAGAATTTCATTATAGTGTTACGATCCTGGCTATTCCGGAGTGCAAATACACAAGGAAAGACAATGCCATTCAATTGCAAAAGAAATGAAATGACTTGGAAAGAGAGAGACAAGGAGGGAAAAAGAAATAAGAAAGAAAGAGGAAGAAGAAATAGAATGCACTGAGGTACAAGCCAAATAAGAGCAATGCAATGAACTCAAATGCCAATGTCAGCCTCAACTGGCCGCCATCAAGAATGTATCCAATGACGCTCTTCTTGATTGGCGCTCATCGCCCAGCCTAACACTACTTAGAACCTGTGCTAGCATACAGCTAATGACGTTACAAGCAGGAATCGATCTTAGCCGAAGACCAAAATGAATGCACATGAAGAAGTCGCCCATACAGACTGCCACATACACATCAGGTACGTGTCTCTTTTCTCCCTCTCTCCTATCCTTGTCCCCCACAGCCTGCATTTCCCAAACACCCGGAGACCACCATCACCCCACCGTGCATCGGCGAGTGCAGCTTGGCTATGGACGACTCGCCCAGCTGTCCATGCAGCATTCACCACCAGCAGCGCCAGTGTGTGCTCTCCAGCCAGTGGCCCAGCACCCTGCCAGCGCTTCAAACCAGTAGCGTGGCCGCCAGGTTGCCTCAGGCCAGAAGGCCTGGCTGGGGGCAGGGCACTTTTGCTCGCATGCCCTGGGCCCCAGTAGCTTCCAGTAGGGCCAAAGTGTCTGCGCCCAGGCCGCGACTCAGATACCGGCCTTAGACTGAAACAGTTAGGCACCCCCAACTGTGCGACGTGGCTCTTGTCACTCGCTGCGTCCTAAGTGGCCGAAAGGCCTTGCTCCTCATCCCTGCCTGGAAGAGCCTGGGATGCTCACAAGGTCGTGGTCACACACGCAGGTGCCCTGTAACCAACTGGCGCCAAGTAACTGTCTGGCGCCCCCACAGCCTGGAAATGTCTCCAGCGGGAGCCCCTCGGAAAATGAAGGCCCGCTGTTCTCAGGGTGGGCAAGATGAAGGCTCAGCGGGGCCCTTTGTGCTGCCGAGGGCGCAATCCCTCGCACAATCTTATTCTTCAATAAATAATAATATACCAATGAATGGCTGAACCAGAACGCATGACCGAATCTCCCTCTTACTGCCAGCAGAATGGAAAAGATGGTAAACAACAAAGTTGAACAAACAAGAATGAACCACCCCAGGCAGCAAGGCAAAAGCATGGAGCATAGGCTGGAGGTCACGGGGGAGGCGGGAGGGCAGACTATACATGACTAATCACAAGGAAAAGACCAGCAGGATGTAAAAGTCATTAAACGGCAACGAAGAAACAACCAGGCAAAGCAGCAAGGCAAGAGCAGGGAGCCAAAAACATAGGCCGGAGGCACGGGGTTAGGCAGGAGCGAAGTTAACACACAAGTACACAAGTGAACGAAAAGAAAGGCATACAAAAAACAGTGAAGGAATGGGCATGAAGCACGGAAGGCAGCAGCAAAGGACAGAGGCAGGATGCGGGTCAGCACGGAGACGGCATGAGGAACTGAAATGGACCTGAAAAAAATGGGACAACACAAGGCAACTAATGGAAAGACATAAGGCAACAATGCATGGGATGACAGGCAGCAGCAAAGGACGAAGGCTGGAGGGCACGGGGGAGGCGGAAGGGCAGACAACACAAACACAACAAGCATTCAAATCAGAAAAAAATCAAGTCCCAAAAAAATGCAAAGACCAAAAAAAATAAAAACTGATGATGAAAGATTGTTTTGTTGGAGTTGCACCGAGTCATCAGGAGACTGAACCTTGACAATCTGTGGAATTCCCATATTGATGCTTTGGGTCATGAACCCTTTTGACCCTTGTGCTGTCGGACGGCCCACAAATGGAACATAGCAGCATGGCAGCAACTCAACGAAGCACCAGCAACCTCCTGATGAGTCGGTGAAACTCCGACAAAACAGTCTGTCACAGCCCTCGTTTGTTGTCCGCGTCTCCCTCTCTGCCTATGGTTTAGCGGGCAGTTCTCTATGACAATATATATGTGTGACAAATGTGTCTGTATATATACATTGTCATAGAGAACTGCCCGGTGAACCGTCGGCAGAGAGGGGGAAGAGGACAACAAACGAGGGGCTGTGACAGAGACTGTTTTATCGGAGTCTCACCGACTCCTAAGCTTTGATTTTGGTTTATTATTTGATGGGCATCTCACTCCTGGCAAGTTTATCTGATGTGTTTGTGTAAAGGGTGCATGGGCGTGTCACTTGTGCACAAGCTTATGTGAATGCTTTTGTGAAGCTCTTTAGGTCCTACCGGCCTGGTGGGCCCTGCTACTTGTGCGCGTTCGGTGGTTTGCTGTTGGGCTTGATGCATTTCTGTTTTGCAGGCTTGGTTTTGCTATTCATGGGCATTTTACTTGTGTGCAGGTTTATCTGATGTGTTTGTGAAGGGTGCAGTTGGGACAGCACGATTTGAGACATCCGTCAAGAAGAAGACCACAGATCCGGAATGGCTGGAGGAGTTTAGGGTGCCCATTTTCAGTTGGAAGACCCCTAACCGGCTCATTTTCCGAGTGCGAGACAAAGAACTTCTCAGAAGCAGCAAAAGCCTAGGGTAAGTATTGAACATACCGTGCATGTATGTGGCTGTGCACTGTTTGCTGCCTGAGACCGATGCAGGGAAAGGAAAGTAAAATAACCATCCAAAGAACAAAAAATTGAAAAAATAGAAAATCAAGACCAGAAAGAAGGTTGTGAAACACAGTCCATGGCTTTTGTTGATTCACCAAACATGAATCTAAGAAGAGAGAGGTAAGCTGACCGCAGCCATGTCATGAATTCACACTTCTCTTCACGGCAACACAAACTCACGCTTCATCACGTAAAGCTCCATAGGAGAGATGCAACTCAGCACGATATGAGAACACTTCGGAAATGCCTTCAAATTTGAACTTTCGGAGATGCAACTCAGCCAGGCTTTTGTTGATTCACCAAACATGAATCTAAGAAGAGAGAGGTAAGCTGACCGCAGCCATGTCATGAATTCGCACTACTCTTCACGGCAACACAAACTCACGCTTCATCACGTAAAGCTCCATAGGAGAGATGCAACTCAGCACGATATGAGAACACTTCGGAAATGATTTTGAATATGAACTTTCGGAGATCCAACTCAGCCACAMKSTCTCTCTCTCTCTCTCTCTCTCTCTCTCTCTCTCTCTCTCTCTCTCTCTCTCWCWCTCWCWCTCTCTCTCTGTGAATGTCCCCCTTGTCACTCTCTCTTCCTCTCTCTCTTGCTAGCTCTACTGCTATGACGATGCAGCCGTGACCACCCTACTCTCATGTCTTATCTACCCTCAGGCCTCTGTCTTCCTCGTTTCTCTCCCTCTGTGTGTCCTCATCTCTACTACAAGGGCATCGGGCGCCATTAACTACCCTACAAGACTCACTCTCATCTTTGCTCGACTCTTGACTGCAAAAGACCGTAACGGGGCTTCCGCAGAGGCTTGAATGCAGTTGTGCTGTCGCTCGGCTGCCGCTGGACTTTTGTACTTCGCTGCAGTTTTTTGTCTTCAACTTTTCCGACCAGTGCCAAGGCTTGTTAGCTGCGGCTGGTCTTTGACGCGCATGGAAGTTACAGGACTCTCCTGGGACTGAGCTGCGTTTATGACTAAGCTGACACGTGAGCTGCGTTTATGACTAAGCTGACACGTGACTGACTGACTGGGCGTAACCACCTACCAGCCTACCGGACCTATAGGGCTATTGGTGCGGAGGAACCTGCAATCCCTATTGGACGCACTGGAGGATCCTGCAAGTCCTATCGGACCTACCGTATGGACAGGTCTATGGTACATGGAACACTGGGAGTGGAAGATCGGAATAGGGATGCAGACGCTGAGACTCATGAAATTATCTTACTCCCGCTGGCCTAAATTGGAGGCACTCTGAGAAAACTGTGACTTCCCATCAGTCGGCAATACGAATTCTTCTCCTAGCTCGTTCATAATGAGAGACTATTCAAGGTGCTGTTTCTTTGAGCTCCTCTTTGGTAAACTATTGATTTTCTTCGAGTTCCCGATATTTGAACCAAACATTGTGGCTGCCCCCTGTTCGTGGATCTATGGACATCAGAGTGCTCTTGTAAATTATGGCCTTCTCCCGGAATGTATGCAATAACCTCATTTCGATTGGTTAATCTCACTTTTTTGTCCAGTATGTGGTGTATGTCATACAGGGTGGCGGATGAGTGACAGCAGTGGCCTCCTCTTTATTCCAGCTGATGGCAGAAGGTCCAGCACTCAATCCGAGAGAGGCCCGTACCAGTATCAATCTTCGAAGGGTTGGCCCCGCTTGCTTTCAGGCTGGGTGAAAGTCAAATTTAGGCTCATACTTTTAGCCTCGGGTGTGCTGGTAGTTTAATGTTGTGAGGGGAAGGGTTTCTACCAGTGCGCGCCTCTGCTATCAACACTAACGGCCCTACAGTCTTCCCCCGAATACAACGTACGGTCATTATAGCTGAATTTGGGGTATCTTTCAGTCTAAATACAGCTATAATGACCGTACGTTGTATTCGGGGGAAGAAGGTAGTACAACCAGCTGAAACTTCTACTGGCCATTCGCTTTTGCTGTCTGCTGCCACTGAGGGCAGAAGAGAACGATATGGTCTTCTTTCTGCACTTCGGAATACTTCCTTTCATCCCTGCGCTGATGCCACTAAGACACTGACAACTTCCAGCGCTCGACATCCTCGAGCCCTGGGTGCAGGGAATATGCCTCTATGTGGGAAGTTGCTTCCGGCTACTCTTGCCAGAACAAAGTTGTTCCCACCTCATCTCTGCGGCGCGTAGTATCCCCCATCTTTTGGAGGGGAGTTGCAGCCTCCTATGCCTCTTGGTGGGGAGTAATATCCTCCTCCACCTCTGATTTTTGGCAGGCCATAACCTCCACCACCTCTCCTTGGCCCTCACCGATGGGCTGCGACAGCAGCATAGTCCCCTCCCCGGTAGCCATCACCGCCATCGACCTCTTCATACTCTATTTTGCTCTTGTCGGACCTCCTTTCTAGAAGGTCAAGAATAAGCAGTCCCTACTTGGGATCGTGTGGGAATAGTCTTCCCCTTAAGATTACTGCCTGTCACGAGATCTTTTGCACGAAGGTTGGTAAACTTGTCACTCAGGAGCTTGCTTGTTCCAACACATACCCTGAAACTCCCTTGAGGCTCGAACTCCCTATCTGTGTGTTCGACCTTTCTAGCTTCTCCAGCTAGCTTTGACCGTAGAGGTTCTGGTAATTCTCATGCAAAATGGGTGAGGATTTGTGCATCAGTTATTCTGTGATCGATCGTTTGTAGGAGCTCCGCCCATTTGGCCTTGAGTGCACTAACATTTCTCCAACCACACTGTTCCGTATTCAAATTTTCATTGGTTGTTCTAAGGGCCTTGTTCTTGTCTATGAACCGGTCTTGCAGCTTCTCTAGGAATGTGTCTGTCTATATTTTGCAAGCACTTCACCATTTCGGTCCCTCACCATGCCGCTTGTGCTTTGGACGGTGCCCAATGCATTGCATTACCTCCGGTGCACGTATTAGCTACCTCGACTTTAGAGTCCTGATCAATAGTCTGGCCGTTAAGCTAGGTTCTAAGTCTAGCTTCCCAACCCAGAATGTCCTCATCTTTCTCACTGTTGTATGTAGGGGCCAGTTTCAGTTGATCTTCTCTCTCTGGCGGGACCTGCGATATCCATCATCAAGGGCAGGCGCTCGCCTTCCCCCCTCGTCTCCACTATTTTCTCCATCTCCAATTCCATCTCCATTTCTATCTCCTCCGTTCTCACTTCATCTTCATCTCCATGTCTCCCATATCAGCCTTCCGTTCCTCAAATACTTCCGACATGGGTTTTTTGAAGTTTTTTCGCCCGGGTAATGAGGCCGTTGAATTTGTGGTCCATGTCTTTTGGCCATCTGATTCAGGTTAGGCACCTTGTTAGCGTCTATCTCATTCTTCACGGTGGCGGGCGTGGCTTCGGTATCCTGCAACATTGTGTTTTCATGGTTGCCCCGGACCCGGACATCCGAACACCGGGAGAGAAGGTTAACAACAGTCGTATTTCCATCACCACTTCAGGACACCCTTCACCACTTCAGGATGCAGCCTGCCCAAACAGGTGGTTTTCAGGGTCTTCGGACCTTTCACCACTTCAGGACACCCTTCACCACTTCAGGATGCTACCTGCCTAAGCAGGTGGTTTTCAGGGTCTTCAAACTTTTCACCACTTTAGGACCATTTAGGATTTTCAAACTGCCCAAAACTCTCACTTCACCACTTCAGAATGCAGCCTGCCTAAACAGGTGGTTTTCAAGCTCTTCGGACCTTTCACCACTTCAGGACCATTCAGGATTTTCAGACTGCCCAAAACTTTCACTTCAGAATTTTCATTCCTGAATTTTCAGGGTCTGGATTAATCCGGACACCGATGTGGACAACTGGACATACGGACCCGGACAGTCCAGTTATGAATGAGCAGGTCAGGATGTTCGGATAATAATGAAAAATTTCAACAAAAAAAAAAAAAACAGATGCATGCTTTTGTAGTTGTTTTATCCGACTGATCTTGAACACACTCACATACACACAGTGTCAGACACACACACACACAGAACCAGTTCTCCTTGGCCCGCTGAAGCTCACCCAAGATTGCAAGTACAGGCCCTTCAGGGCTGGTCCAGTTGGCCCAATGGTCCACCAAAAACTGCGCCAACAATTTTCGGGGGTCCACCAGGCACTGGAAAATCGCCTGGGGACCCGAAAAAGTTTTTCCGAATTTTCTAGAAATGGGGCCCAACCGGACCCCCCAAACTGAACACCGGATCCGGGCATCCAGACCGGATTCTAGATCCCGAGTCGGACGTCCGGTTAACAACCATGCTCTTTTTCAGGAGTTTCTCCTTTTTGCCCATCTCCTGGAGCGCAATTTTTCTTTCTCCTTCACCGTCAACTCCTCCTCCTCCTTGTCTACAGGGTCCATTGTTACCACCATGCCCCCAACTTTGGGGCTTGAGGGCAGGGGCTTCCCGACATCATCTCTTCAACCCCTGGATCACACTGCTGATCTCGTTCCGCAAATCTTTCTCTCAGTGGCAGTTTCCCTGCCTACTCAGTGCTCGACTGTGCCGTCTTTTCCTTCCTTTAGCCCTCCTCCTCCTCTTATACCCCACTTTTTTTTTTTTAAATGGTAAAAAAGAAAAAAAAAAGGTGGCAGGCTACTGTTGGGGTGATATGAGTAGCCCTCCCAAGTGACCCACTTCTTCTCTCCTCGTGCTGCTTCTTGTCCTCCTCATAGTCTGGATCTACTGCCTGAGGTATCTGCCCCCTATCGCGTGTCTCTATTGGGTCCAGACTGTTGCACTGGGAAAATCCTACGGCAGAGGTGAGGGAAAATGACTCACAGCAGCAGATGCCAAAATATGGCCAAACCGAGAACGGCGTACATTGGTAGTCATCCGTGGTGAGCAAACAGCACAACAGTCGGTCAGAGGTTGGTTGTTCCATTACCTCTTAGGCTCCTACCACTTGAACCACCAGTACACCGGAGGCTAAATGAACGAGCCTGAATTGTCAATTTTGCCAAGCATAGAAGCAACCAGTACCGCCGCTTGGAAAATTGAGTGTGGTACGGGTACCGGCCTCTCTCGGCTCGAGTGCTAAACCTGCTGCAAGCAGATGGAACAAAATAGAGGCCGTCGTTTTCACTCATGTGGTACCCCAGCTGAACTGTGTACAAAGCAACCCCCTGTATCTGGCCTAATTTGAGAACCAGATACGGGCAGAAGAAAAAGAAGAGAAGAGAAAAAAGAAAGGCCTATAGCACCTGTCACCAAGCAGAGAAAGACAGAATAATGAAGAACTTAAAATAAGGGAAAAGAAAGAAAGTAAGAAACTACCAACGGGCCTAGCTCAGTTGGTACACCCCTGAACTGTTGAAATACAGACTCAAGTTGGAATCCAGATACCCTCAGACGAAGAGAAGAAAATCATTCTGAATTGCCTGGGTCCGGTGAGTTCAATGCTGATATCTAAAGGCCGTCACCCTTTAAAAAAGAAAAAAAGGAAGAAACTGTTGAGAAACCCCGCAGTGCTGTCAGGAGCCTCTCACTGCTCCTTGCCGTAAGAGGGGGCTTGCCGTAAGAGGGGGCAGCAAAAGCGCGACAGGCCCATGTACAGGAAAGCTCCAGGCGTGGGTGCAGTCAGTTTCATCCAGGTCTGGCCCAACTTGCACCTGACTGTGATTGCGGCCAGACCTGGACGAATCTGACTGCAATCACATCCAGAGGTTTGTAGTGTGAGCACGCCCTCGGCTAGAAACAGAAAAAAAAAAGAGATTCGTGAAATCACGAATCTCTTCGTTTTATTTTCCTAGCTGAGGGCCCAATCCAGAGCTGTGGACGTGATTGCAGTCAGATTCGTCCATGTCTGGTCACAATTGCACTCAGATCAAGTTGCGACAGACCTGGACGGGTCTGGCCTTAATCACATCCAGAGCATTGGATTGCAATGAAGTCGGGTCCATCCCCTTTTTTTTTAACCTTATCCCGTTTTCTCTTCCGTGTCTCCCTTCTTTTCTTTTCTTTGCAACTTCATCCTCTTTTCTCTTCCTTGTCTCACGGCTCACTGCCACCTCCTGACAGCACTAAGGGGACGTCATGTCTCCAACAGTTTATTATCCCCGCCAGTTGCCAGGCCAAATCTCAGTTCCTCGTTTTTTTTTCCCTTTTACCGCCCCCCGTCGCTCTACTGAGCCGTCCCCGAGCCCCGAAATTTGCAGTGGGGACGAGTTCGTTTTTCTGCGAGGCTGGGGCCGTGTACTGGTGGTTTAAGACTCGACTTTGCTTGACATATATCCTTTGACTCGGTTCTTCTTCTAGACTAATGGGCTATGGTAGACACCCATGGGTGGCCAACAGCCGATCTAAGGACAGGGTGCTAAGCCCTCAAGAATTATGTAATGTCGCAAACAGGACAACGTAACCAGGTGGTACCACCAAGGCCGGTCGACGAGGGGTCCATTACCTATGCCTACTAACTGCAACCCTCAACACTCATATCTCAACTCCCTGTCTCTGATATCTGCTTATACCTCCAAAGGAGTTCACCGTGTACTGGTATGCGAGCTCACAGGCCAATAGAAAGGTTATCTGACGAGCGCCCCCACGCTCTGGGCAAAGTAGCCACTGCACAGCTTCAGATTGTCACGGGTGGTCAACCTAGGCCTTGTCAACTGCTTTGCTCTTTTCGGTCTGCGTCTCCTCGAGTTAACCCTACGCTTGTCAGTACCAGTCCTTGGGGCTAAGCCACTCACTTTGTGTCCGCTCAGCCTGCTGGATTGCTCGATGTTGAGGCTTTCTTTTACGTATGAATGCAAGGGTCAGCAGTTGTGAAGCAGCAAGGTTCAAACTCTTATATGCATGCATGGAGTGGGCAAGGTACAGCCACGGATGCAAAGTGAAGTGCAATCGATTACATAATGGAGCAAAGAAAGGAAAGAAAACTTATGCTCGGTTTCAGCAAGAGAGAGCAATCCATAAATCCAACTCCACCTGGCCTCACAGCAATTCAATTCTCACATAAAGTCTCTACGCCGTCAGATTGCTTGGCTCAGTAGATGCACCCAAAGCTCGGTAGCTGGCTGGAGCGCGTTAGCAGCCGTACTTTTGGTTTCCTGCTGATAACTTACTTGTTACAACACAATGCCCATGCAGCTAGCACGAAGTCAGATTGCTTGGCAAGTTGACCCGCCTACGTAATACGTACAATATTCACAGCCTAATAAGCCTATGAAAATAATAATAAAAATCACAGCCTATCTGGTTGAGTAACTTGTTGACAGCAGCTCAAGTCACCTTGAATAGACCAGCAATTCGAGCATCAACGACAGAACGTGCATGCATACAAGGTTAGGGTTAACGGAGGCACTTCACTTCAGCCTGATGACGCTCCACGCTTGCTGCGATCACTCCACAGAGTTTCACCGGTAAGTTTCTCTCCTCGTTGGACCTCTTCTGCCGTGGTGCACCACTGCACCCTACCTCGTTGCCAGAGAACCCTAATTGCAGGTCTCCTTGAATCCGCCAATCGCTTGAGCACTGCACAACTCCTCTCCATTGCCGGTCAGCCTAGATCGCAATGCCAGCTTCTCCACTTCGCATGATACCAATTGCAACGAGCTCACGAGTTCACGCTGCTCTTCAAGACATCACCAGGTCAGGGTTCATCACACAAAGCTTCACACGCAAGATGCAACCTAACACACTTCGGGAATTGTTTGAAATTTCTGTGTCCTATACAACAGTGTCTCATGTATGTACACTGGCAGCTATGGCTGCTACTTAACAACAACAAGGTCTCTCTCTCTCTCTCTCTCTCTCTCTCTCTCTCTCTCTCTCTCTCTCTCTCTCT